GAAACAAATAAGTTTCAGCATAGCGCGTCGTGAGTTCCCGTATTGAAAATACAAGTATTTTGGTTCATACCTTGTTCTGATGAGAAGTTTGTATTACGAACGAATTATATTCAAGTATCAGATTATAACACGGTCGATAACACAAATGCCGGGAACGAATGATTATAAATCCGAGCCAACTGCTCAGTATACAAACTCCAAGAGCATTTCTCGTTTGCTTTGCATCGGCTAATTCTAGCAATAATTTTGTATTATACACTATGATATTATCACTATAATGTTTGGGTGTCCTTGGAATGTCCACGACTAATTATGAAAAAAATTGAGTATGATAAACGGAATGCAACGTGTGTATCAGCGTGTATCGCTTCTTTAGCACCGGGCGTTTGAAGTTGAGCGAGATGCCCCAAGGGCAGTTGGGACTCGCACTGCGCCCCCAGCGCGCGCGGCGGCGGAGGCCGGCGCTTGCTCTTGGATTCGGCGGCGAAAGAGCAGGCGGCGCGCGGGCGAACGGGCGTCCCCCAAGGGCTTAGCGCCCGGCGGATTTGTTGGCTCGTTGGCCGACTCCCGCGCACCCCCCTCACTCCCCCACGCGGCGGCGGCAAGCTTCTTTGGGCGCTCGTCTGTGGTCCATCACCGCGTGCATCACGAGTAGGTCGCGCCGGCTGCGGTGGCTCAGTGGCAACACCGGGGGTTCCCCTGCTTCGTTGACTGGGATTGTGTCCGCTCACATCAACTATCATCATATCGCTCATGGCGAATAATACGAATTTTGAGTTAATGCACAGATTGATCTACCTTTCCGCCGCAACAGCAGCATACTTTACAGAACAAAATTCCACCAGTCAATCGCATAAGTTTGAATGCAAGAATGATGCATTTCAATACTAAATAAAAATGCCAATCTCATATTGCTCAACACTTGATTTTGTGAGATTTGTCACCGTTCCAGCTCATGAGCGAACGAAATATATTAGGATGTATCGAAAAAAACAATTTTCCCTTGCTACCTTCCAGAATCAAAGTTTTGGTTGAAAAAACATATCCAGGCACAGGTCCACGATTGGATATGTGTTGCCCAAATTGGATCACCCCGATTGGATATGTGTTGCCCAGATATTTTCTTTTCAAGCCCATAACACTCATAAAGTTTAATCATTACATTTCAGTAACTTAAATGTCCCTAAAAGTTACTGTTTTTTTCATTTTTTAGACATTTTCGTATTTAATCTGTTATAACTTCCAATATTTCTATTGAAAATGAGTTCTCTGTAAATTACGTTAACAAGACAACATTATATTTTAAACCTATGATAGAAACAAGTACAAAACATTAAATATTAAGATTAAAAAATGGCTAGAAATCCTAATTTTTGTCAATTTTTACCTTTTTTTAACATTTATCAACTACTATTTATGGTGGTATTATTAAAAATTTATCAGGGTGTTTTGGCAGGGCAAAGCAGAACAGGCACTTTTGCAACAGGTGCAATTGGTGTCGGAAGTTCGCCACCACTAGAATTCAAACGCTAGAATTTCCCGACCAACGACCGGCTGGGTTAGCTCACAGCCAGTATTGGTGCTGTTCTCACACCGTCTCACACTGTGAGGATCTAGGTTCTAGCCCCAGCGGTAGTGTATTTTCGATTCTAGGTTGAGAGCTTCGTCGAATTCAGCCGCTCACTGTCTGCACGAGTATTATTTTGAGCTGCTGCTGTGAATTGTGTCCCGTAGTTTCTTCGCTCAATACCAGGTGAATACTAAATGCCTTAATAAATGGGCTTTGGATCGCCCATTCTGTCTCCTTCTTCATTTTTGTGCGTCCTTTTCCATTTCACATACACATACTCTCTCACGCGTTCTAAAGGTTCTGAAACGAAACTTGCCACACATATATTTCGCTCCCTTTACAGTGCATGATGGCAGGTAAAGGGATGATTGGTTGCCTGGCACATTGCTACTGCGTGAGATTGTTGATTCTGTAGCATGAGAGAGAAATGGCATTATTAAAGATGCAATGTACCCTGTTGTTGCGAGCAGACGAATTGTTGAGAGCAGAAGAAATTTCTTAAGTTTTTGTATTGATAAGTGAAAGTATATGAAATAACCTTCCACAAATCATTGTTAATGAGCCAAGAATGTTTCAGTGTCTTAAAAACAAACTTATAGAAAGAACTTATTTTGCTGCAAAGAAGGCGCAAGAGTTTGAATGATATGTACGTAGAGCTATGAAATATTAAATTACGTAATCGTCACAAGTAATACGATAAATAATGTTCTGTTCTATCCCCATGATTTTTGCACTATAGAATCATGCCTTTTCTGAGAGCTCGGAGTATACTTTTTTGTGAGCAGACCAGGAAAGGAAAGTTGTCGAATGTCAGGCAACACCGGCCTAAGTTTTCAACATATATTTTAAACTGATTTTGCCTAGCATATTAGATTTCAAAATACAACAGATAGAATAATGATATTTTTAATTATAAGAAGAGTCTATTGATGTATAGTTTCAAAAACGTAGTTAAAATATCGTATGTGGAACACATGGTTTACACGTTACTAATCCATTTGCTAACACGAATTAGCAAGCAATCCCTGACATACTGTACATTTTCAGATGAAAAGTATTAGTTCTAGGGGGCAGTTGAAAAAGATATAGAAGTATAGCCGCTGCCTTACTTTGTTACGCATATTCATTGTGGAGGTATTACGACTTACGTTTTTCTTTGTGGTCCTCTCTTCATCTACAATAGCTGCTTTTGAAAAATTCACGCAGTTTAAAAGTAAAATATGGTGGTGATGGCGTGTTTCAAAAGTACGTGTTGGTGCTGTCAAGCTAAACTAATTAAATTTCATTCAATCTTTTTAGGAAGGGAATGGGAAAAGACCTTCACAAATTATTTTTGGAGATTCAAAGACGCTTTTTTCCATGGTGGTTGCAGTCATGTGAGACCCCAACAAAGAATTTCCAAGTTGTTTTTAGAAAATATGCTACAGAGAGAAGTCCAATTGTTTTTAGAAATAAATCCTTATTTTTCGTGAGGGAACTACAGAAGCATTAATCCGCGAAAATTTGGTTTCTTAGAAACGGAATACGGAAATACGAGTTTGCTTAACTTGGGTGAAAAACAATACTGTTGTAAACATTCTATTCTCTTTTTACAACTGGTTAATCTCTGTACTATATAGACGCATTTTGTTTTTCACTTCCGCGAACTCAATTTATTTTCCATCTAAGCCATTCTTACTTAAATACTTCTAATGAAAATACTGGTAGATTAAAAGCAATGTACTTCTCTTTTTCTACGTATTCCCAGAATATACTGTGTTCTATGTCAGAATTAAGAAACGCAATACAACGTTGCATTTAATTCAGTGATGGATATTAAAAAACTCGTACCTCGTTTTGTTATAAAAAAGTTTTTTTAGTACTATATTTTTTATATTTATTTCCGCAAGGTAGTAGAAGAGAATTTATTGAAGCAACATAACACCGCAGTGGAAAAATAATTTATCAGTTAGAAATGTTTTCACATTTTTATTCTGTTCCATATTCTACGCAGATGCACCTTGCCCCCCTTTCAGTTAGTTTTCATAGTGATACTCAAGTGACTCATCAACAAGCAATATAATTCTGTGCAGCTAACCTGTTCATAATCCTGTTTATTTTTTGCTATTTTATGATAAAAGTATTTCCTGCGTTCAACAGTAATTATTAATGTATGTTAGTACATAACACACTTCTGGAGTACTTTTTTCCGCAAATTATAGATTAAACGAGTGCCTCTCGCCGGAAACAAACCGGTCGACGTGTCGATAAACATTCATTATGGTTCGTAAAAACAATAGCAACTTTGATTTCTTGAGCAATTTCCATCCAAATTCTTTTTGAAAATTCCCTATCGTCCTGATATGTTTTTTATGTATTGTAATGAGAACCTTAATATCATTATTGAACATTTTCAAATATTTCATTTTTCTCGCTCTATTAAAATTACAGTGTGACGATTGTCCCATTGATATTTACATCGACAGTCTTTGTTGAGCGTCTTACAAAACTAGTGAAATATGAAAGACGCCCGTTTATCTGCCCGTAACCCTTAAATAGTCACGTCATATTTGGAACGTTTGTTTATGTGCTGTGTAAAACGAGCAAAAAGCTTTGCAAAACATACTTTCAAGCACTGAATTTATAAAAATTATAGGAAATGCCGTAATTTATATAAACGTAGATGTTTCTTTAATTAAAAAAGTGTTTTCTTGGTTTACGGTGCCCACTTCCGCTTTTGTTAAATAGCAGGACAAATTTTGACTCCTTGGTGTTTATCGAATCATCGTAGTGTAAGTTCGTTGATTGGGTTTAACATTTTTTAGTTTTTTGGAGGAATACAAAATATTAATATAATTTCGTTTTAAAAAATAAGTAATGATTATTGAATCTATTTTAGCTCCTTTCTTTTGGAACTTCATGTTATTTCCGATTCAGGTTTCTGCCAGGCAATAGGAATGCAACTGGTCCTGCATTGAATACCATACTAGAATGGGCCCACACAAGAGTTTTCCAGTTATTGCCATTATTTATTTAATAAGCTTACCATGGCATGAATCATTTTCCTATTTGAACATTAAATTTTATATAAATATATTTCAATCATTTTTCTACCATAGCTTTCTTTTCTTTCAAAGTATTTATTTCCGGCAAATTATAAATTTCCTGATTCCGTGTATTCTTTGGTCTTCCTTTTCCTCTTCTTTTTTCTTTTCCTTTTCCTTGTTGTGTAACTTATAAAGAAGTCTTAATATCCCTTAATTGGTGCATCTAGTATATTCTATACTGTCATTGCTGTACTTTGAAACATTATAAAATGGAGAAAACTGATACTGGCTAGGAATGGAATGTATGCTGTAGAATAGTTTCACGTTCTAGCAATGTGTGTGCAACCACATCAAGAAGTGTTTGGAGTGCGTTCTGATGGTGGTTCTTGTGGTTTGTGTTGCAGACCGCGTGCGCTACGAGGGCACCATTCGCCTGGCGAACGCCAGCGCGTGGCTCGAGGGGCCCGGGGGCCGCGCCCCCTCCGCGTCCGCCGCCTCCACCCCCGCCTCCGTCGCCGCGCCCCCCGCGCTCGTCAACACGCTGGAGAAGCTGGTGAGTACCTCGACCATGGTGACGGGCTCTTAGGTAACCGACTGTTGTGTAATCGTCTCTCGTATGACAAACTCTTGGGGGACCGACTCTTGTGGGATCGAATCTTGGGTGACATACATTTCAATGGCAGACATTTGGGTGACCAACTCTTGAGTTCCGACACTTGAGTGTCTACTCTTCAGTATCCTACTCTTGAGTGTTCGACTCCTGAGTGTTTGCCTCTGAGTGTCCGACTCTTGAGTGTCCGACTCTTGAGTGTCCGACTCTTGAGTGTCCGACTCTTGAGTGTCCGACTCTTGAGTGTTCGACTCCTGAGTGTCCGACTCTTGAGTGTCCGACTCTTGAGCGTCCGACTCTTGAGCGTCCCACTCTTGAGCGTCCCACTCTTGAGCGTCCCACTCTTGAGCGTCCCACTCTTGAGCGTTCCACTCTTGAGCGTTCCACTCTTGAGCGTTCCACTCTTGAGCGTTCCACTCTTGAGCGTCCCGCTCTTGAGCGTCCCACTCTTGAGCGTCCCACTCTTGAGCGTTCCACTCTTCAGCGTCCGTATCTTGAGCGTCCAACTCTTGAGTGTCCAACTCTTGAGTGTCCAACTCTTGAGTGCCCAAGTTTTGGGTGACCAACACCTTGGTGCTGTTAAACTTATTGTAATTTTCCGAAAGTATATGAATATGTAGTGTGTGTAGTAGATGCAGCGGCCAATATACAGAAGAAATGGTTTCAGATATCGTGTAAGGCTGCATGGGCCAAATCCCGCTCGTTTTCATGAGTTCGTGACAAGATGGTCCATGCTCGTGGCATCTCTCGTAATACCGGTTTAATAGAGTTGAGATTAGTCTACGGGATACCTCAACGCGTTAAAAATATAAAACTTATAGGGATGGGCCATCTGTTTCCCTAAGTCGCTTCATTGGTACAGGAAAGTACCAAAAGCGATCTCAGCCGTGATTGAAGGAGAGACATTTGGTCTGCAGATTCTGGATCTCTGAATGAGGTGTGAAGTAAGATTTGATACTAACCGTCTGTGCGCAGGAAACCAAAGGTATAATTTGCTTCGTGAACTATTTTGAATTCAAATAAAATCAAATATTATGAACGCGACCCACAATTCCCTCACTTTCCTCCTCTAGAGTTAAGTACCTTTTCATCTCTTTGAATCATACGAATATTTTGAGTTCCGACCCTAGAGTTTCTTCTATTTCACACTTTGAACTATTCGAAGGCATCAATGTGTGACTCGAATTCTTCGAAATCACACTATGTATTTTTAATTATTTGGAGGGTTTATTATTTTATATGAAATATATCTTTTAGAAGAAACACTATTTAAAATATTTACCCTTTAACTTATCTTGGGTATTGTTCGTTGAACATTTCGATTGCAGATATTTACAGCCTCTCCATCAAAAAGATTACCTCTGATCACGCTTTGATTTTACGTCTGTGAATTTCCCAAAGCGTAATTGCAACCATCGAATGAAGCCGCCAAACTGGTGCCCACGCCTGCGATCGCCATGACCACCACCATATTAGGCATAAAGTGCTTATAAATTCTTCGTACCACGTTAATTACGTGAGCTATAACATGATATCTGATGTGATCAATTAATGCTCTCCAAAAACGGGAGAGCAAGGACAACAAAACATTATAAAACCTATCTATAGTGCTATCGACTATCAGCTATCGGATTTTGAAGCAGTTGACTAACGTTTCTGTGAATCCCTCTTTATTTTGTCAGTTCGTAAACCTTGCAATGCATTTTACATCGCCTTTAGATCTTGTAGCGATCGATGTCTTTGACCTGGGTAAATACGTAGATACGTCATCTTTTTGAAGAAAATAGTAAAATTACTACAGGATTCTCCTCGCCATTCTGTATTGATGTTTATATAATATAATTTAAGTTCTTGTTAGTTGCTTAGTAATGGGCTCATATGTACTTAGAAAGACATTCTAAATTTCGTAAAATTCAGGTAAGCTGGGTGATTATTCATATTATTAAAAAATATTTGATAACATTGACTAACAAATAAGTGGCCCGTTTATTTACCGTAGAAAATATTGTGGCCGTTGATATTGCTATGCAAGATTTATTAGTGACTATATATTTTTCTGTAAAATGTTGTTTTAAAGTTAGTAGTTTATTCAGTGGTAAAAAGTATTTTATGTGAGTAGGGCATTCTACTTTTCCTTTTAAGAGAAAACATTTATGCTGCATTTATTTGCATTAAAATTCTTTATCATACAGTTCGAATTATTATCAACAATGATCCTTTTTAATGTTAATGCAAAAATATATTATATGTTTCATTACCATCTGTTAATACTAAATTGTTTAAGCGTGAAGTAATGATCAAAATTACCCGAAGTGCATTCAACATGCGGTCAAACCTACAGGAGATTCCATGTGAGCTGAACAAGGTTCCAGCGCAGTACACATGTTTTGCGAAGTGGCCAAATGTAAAACCGGCATTTGATCTGCGGAAGCGCAAAACAAGTGTTCCGGCTCTTGGCCTGCAGCGCACTCGTTCGCCGCCAAACAGACACTTGCGACAAATTCCCCGCGTGTTTGCGCGCGTAACGGCCTCGCGCCGGGCGGCCGGGCGGCGAGGTCGAAAACGAGAGGTCAGCCGCGGGCACTGGCCCCGCGAGGTGAGGCGGGGACGAGTCAGTCAGCGTTTTGTGGTTCGGGCGAGTCAGCTGCTTCGCTCATTAGTCCCGTGAGTGTAGTGCATGTTAAATCCCTGGGGGTGGAGGTGTTCCAGTCCTGCTGAGACATGAGATCGACATGTCCACTTTCAGGGACTTCCCCGTAGAGGTATCTCCCTCGTAGAGGCACCGTCGGCGGCGGGACGAAGTCTTAAGTTCTGACTTGTCTATCGATAGAAAAATTGTATGAACTCTCAGCGACCCATTCGACCTGCGCGGGCGATTGGACGCAGGTGGAGTTGAATGCCAAGATGAGTGGTACTCACATTTGTTCGGGCAATCAGATAAAGCATACGAAACACGTGTGATGTGTGCATTTTTTAACGAAGCAAAATTCTATAGTATGGCTTCTTCCCTCTTCAGAGTATGTCGTATCTCTATTTTGGTGTAAAATGTGCCGGAACGCCGCGGTATTGTGTACTAATATCGGAGGTCGAAAGACGTAACCCAGCCGCCCACTTGAAAATGCTCGTGAAAAGCGAGTCAAATTGGCCGTGTTAATTCGGCAGATTTTTGACTCAGTTACTTGAGCCTACTGTTAACACGTACAACTTTTGAAGCGGTGGGGCGGGGAGGGAGGGGATGTGCGTGGAGGAGGAGGAAGAGGAGGGTGGCCCGATAGAGTGGGGACAGAGGGGCAAGGCGGCGGCGCGGCGGACTGGGCAGGGCGGGCGGCGGAGAATGAATGGTTGCGGGAGGGAGGAGAGCGGGGCGGAGCGGGGAGATGCCATGTTGCACATCGGGGGTGCCAGTGGGCGGCGCTGACTCCCGGAGGGGTGCGGGCGCGGCCGGGCGCACGCGTGGCGCTGGTGGGTGGAGGATGGTCCGGGATATTATAGAGACTAGTTAGGCGCCTATCTGCACGCATTTTATTGCTCCTCGCGCGATTTGTCGGCGCGCGCCGCGGACTCCATCGTCGTTTTTGACTGCAGCGCCGACGTCCGAGACTTGGCGCACCGCGGACGCCCCGCCCACGCGGCTCGCCCGCCCTCCCACCTCCTACAATAATAACAACTGTAATAATAATAGTAATAATTTCAATAATAATAATAATAATAATAATAATAAATAATAGTAATTCCTTATCGCCTAGTCGCCCTAATCGCGGATATATCCCTCGCACTATTCTCATTTCCCAGATCTTTCCCTTTCCTTCCCCTTCCTTATCCTTCCCTCCCCCTATTTTCTAACCTTCCGGCGGTCATCACCTCTTGAACCTCTCAACCTCCCAGCCCGTCGCCCTCCCCTCCATCGCCACCTCTCCTCCCTCGCGACACCTCTGCTCTCTCAATTTCCCAGAGCTTTGAATCTCTCTGACCTCTCCACATCTGCACTCTTCGAAACTTCCGCATTTTCGTCCCGTCTACCATTTCTCTTTCTTCGCCATACCGTCTTTATGCCTCCCAGCTTTGTTATATTGCCACTTTCGTGCATCGCACTCGACTCCTTCTCTCCTTCACACTCAATCGTTCTCTGTCTCTCTTCCTCTCTCCCTTTTTCTTCCCCCTTCCTTTCTCTCTCTTTCTTTCTTTTACTCTCTCTCTCTTTCTGTCGTTTTCACTCTCCCGCTGTTCTCCCGCTGTAGTCCGTGCCCCTGCCTTCTCCATCCTTGCCGCCCCCTCGCATTCCGCAACCTTTCTCTCCCTTCCTCGTCCGCGCGTGGACGGCCCTCGAGAGCGTGTGTTTGAACGGCCTGCCCTCCCCGCTTGATTAGTTCGGCCGAATGCGGCGTGGTGCGGCGAGAGCTGTTGGCACGTCGGGAATTTTCAAGCTGTCGCAGTCTCTCCATTGGGCAGTTAGCTTTGAAGCGGAAAGGATGGTTCATGCTTGAAGTCCTTATTTTTACATAGTGCATTACTGATTTCGAATATATTAATAAATTAACGAAACACTATTCATCCCTTGATCATGTGAGAGGTGACTATGCTTTTGTTAGATACCCAAAATAATCCCCAAACAATGAAGATATAGTTTTGAAGAATAGAAGCAATGAATAATAGATTCAATGGAGAATATTCATTTGAAAAATTGAGGTTTGTGTTCTTGTACCGCGCTAACTGAATTTTCATACTGGGTTAAGACAGATATGGCGTAATACGACAGCATAGCTGGAAAGAATAGTCCATCTGCCATTACATATTTCCTATGCACGTGTTGCGTAAGGGAACAGGAACATTTGAAAAAAAAGTCTAGGTACATAAAGAACTGTTGAACTGTGTATCCATATATACACTATCTCCTTTTTGTGCAGTATCCGTGAGGACTGTTTTTGTAAAAATATTCAATTTGTTGCAGCATTGTACGAGAGTATGTTACGTGTTCATGAGGAGTTTACGTGCTTTTTTTAACCATTTTGCGTGGTGCTTTCTGCAGTTTTTTCTGCTGAAGGCTTCTAGTTGAAATGATTCTCAGTCAGAATAACGAACATACAAAGTTTTTATATATTTTGAAACGTTAAACGTTTCATACTGGTGAAGTTTCTGAAAATTGAAGGATTTTCTTAGATTATAGGATCACTCTTTCTCATTTCATTCGTATCTGAAATAATCGATGCCTGTCTTCCTTCACATATTTGGGGTTATTTTCTGACAGTCTTCCTGAAACTTGTAATTAAAAAGCTGCATTTTCTATACACTCTCTTTCTTGTTTTTCATTAAAATATAATTGTATATTTTATTCTTAAAGCGTTACGATAATTATTTTGGCTTCACAGTGTACACGTAAACTTTAAGTGAGGTTCTTTTCGGTAAAGAGGACAGTAAAATATATTGTGAAAAATATCCCGTTTGTATTTCCACCTGAAATTCCATCTGCCGTGTGTTCATGCTTTTTATGGTCTGGAAATGCAAACACACCGCGACCTTCATAAAGGGGTCCTCTTGTGTATAAAAAACGTGAATGTAACAGTATGCACAGTATACGTGTATTTTATTTAATTTTAGCCAAATTTTCCAGCACGTATTCTGGAGCATTTTCCAGGTCTTTCAATTTGTATAAGATATTGCTTACAAAACAAATAATATCAACTAGTGGACCCGGCAATGCTTCACTGTTTAAATGTTTTACAAATTATACGCTACTGGTTATGTGTTTGTTAGTCACGGTTTACGCTCCGCTCCGCAAAACCTTTGATAGATGAAAGGGTTTCTCGCGAGTATGTGTTTGTTCTTTACCGTAGTTTGGACATGGTTGTCAAGTATGCTATTGTTAAAACGTTCTCCCTCGAGTTTGGGTATGCACTCGCTATGACACTGTCTTCATAAATTTGACTTACTTGTCCGAGATAACGTTCGAGTAATACCATATAAGACATATAATAAGTGTTCAAATCCCGGCCAATATTTCACAATCGTAGGGGCCAAATATGCAGCGAAGACGTGCTTAATACTTGAGGATGCCGCGTGTTGCGTAGAGCTTTTGTTCAGGTGTGCTCGAGTCAGCATAAACTTTTAAAATCACCTTCAACGCGTGTGTATGTGTGACACACATACGCACATTCCCTCTGTAGCTCGTACTATGTCTATATTATTTGCACAAGTGCAAGCACGACGTTTACAAGGTTTTATTGCAATCGGATTAATGGTATGGCAGCGCATAAAATACGAACAAACATTGATTTTTATATATTAGATTAATCATAAATTAAAAGTCGAATACAGCTATTTTCTTCGTGATAACGTTCTTTAATAGGGGAGTAGAACATATGCAAAAAACGTTATGTTGAAGAATGAACTGAATAACAGCAAAAGAATAACTGAAACAACATGGAATAATATTAAACATAAATATTATAATAATTTTCTTCGTAATTAATTTTTTGACCATATTCTTGAAATATTTTTGAATGATCTATTTTGTCATAGCTGAAGTGATAAGTACTGCTAAAATGTTAATATTTTAAAATCAATATTCCTTCGAAAGTCGTAATATATTTCGTTTCTGCATATGCTTCGCACTATGTAGTCATGAAAGAAAAAATAATATAGCTGTGTATTATTGTGCTTAAAAGAAATAACATGAAAATGAAGATACCAAGTAATTATTTAATCGAAAATAAGATGTACTCGGTGTGAGCCAGGACCAAGCTATTAAAAAATATTTCGCACTGTAGCCAAAAGCCAAGAAACATTCGCGTATTTCAGTAAAAGAACCCTAAAAACATACAGTTTCCTTTTCTCAAAAGAGAATCTCGTATCATTCATTCAAATTTAAGCGAGAGAAAATTGAGAGCTTATTATTTCTGAAGGTCTCTCTATGGAGTATTTATTCCGACGTTATCTTCGTTCCTTTTACGAAGCCTTGCTTAAACTCCGCAAGATCGTTCCGAATCCTCTGCATTCAGAAGCGCAAAGACGCTTTCCAGTGCGAAGAAACTACCAGTTTGTGTGGATTGGTGGCCGGGGGGACAGAAGGGGGCCGTATTAGAGGCAAAGGAGAATGCGGGTGGGGCGGTGGAGAGCAGGGGGAAGAGGCGGGGTAAAGCGGAGTGGCGGAGGTGGTTCTAGATTCTGTCAATAGTATTTGTTCTGATACCAGTAGCTCTTATAGAAAACCAAAAATAAAATAGCTTAGTAATGGTATGGAACCTCTAGAAGACAAGAAGAAATGAGACTCAGTATTTTTTTGGTATATGACACAAATTATGAAAAATAAAATAATGCTAAAAATAAAACGGAGAGAATGCGAAGATAAATGGCGCTGTGAAATAATGAGTCTGAGTGTGAAAAGAGAATACTATTAATTCTAGTTTACAACAGACTCATGATTCTTCACTCGATCGCGCATCTAAACCTATATCTCCCGTTTTCCGCCGCCCCTCAATTCCTCCGTGTGTCTCGTCATGCAAACTCCTCTTCGTTCTGTTCGTGGCGACTGTGTGTACGTGCGTAGTCCGGCGTGATGCACAAAGCTTCGGTTTCGAGGGCGACATGTCTTTCCGGCAAGCCACCCAGCTGCCGTTGCGGTGGCAATCCATTAAATAACACTCTCTCTCTTGAAAATGAATGGTCCCATTGCACCTCAGCGCAAGCGGCACCGCTCCCGCGCCTCTATTTCACCCTACTCGACCTTACTCCACTCGCATTCCAAAGACACTGGCCTCTCTCTGTTTGTCTTTTGGCGGCCCACTGAATATTTTGCATGTCTCATTGCTTAGTGCGGCCGAACACTCGTTACACATTCTGGAGTCGCTTTTCTGGGCCTGCGTCCCAGTTTCCTAGAAATTCGCTCTCTCATTCGTGACCCCTTTCCTGTCAACCTCCATCTCCTCCTCCCTCTGTAGCCTATGCTCATCTCTGGTCCCATATATACACCACTCACACTACACTCACGCACCCCCACGCTGATCGCCGCAACAACCCACAAAACTCCAACCCACTCCATCCAT